ATGAGAAAGGGATCAAAGAAGATTTTGAGATTTCAAGACTGAATGAACTTAGGGATTTTTTGCTTCTGACTATGATGGAATAAATATTACCAAAGTAGCCCCCTTCCTGTAAATTACCATAAAATTAGAAAAATACATACAACTCTTTTCAGGCACAGGACAATAATCAGTGAAATAATAATCAGTGAAATCTTGTGATTCCTTAGAGATGAGATACTCATGAAGTAAGCCCTACAATTGCCTTGTCCTTCTCTCCAGGGATGATTTCCCAATCACAACACAATGAGCTGGATACCAAGGAGTATACAGCAATTCCATTGAGCTAAGAAAGTGAAGATCAGAGTTCATGGCCGCTGGAATTTGTGGGGCAGAGCACGTATGAGAAGGGACCTGTTAACAAAATGGGACATAGAATTCCATGGAGGCTCCCATACAGGGTGCCTTGGCCAGGAAATGGGCTGCATATACACAGGGAAAGACTGAAGTTAGAGAGCATCTGCTATGGGTTAAAAATGAAGAGAGATTCGAGATATCAAGCAGTGCAAGGGGACACTGGAGTTCAAGCCAGCCATAATGAAAGACCAGGTAAACAGTTCATTTAACACCTTGAACATACAGATGAGATGTCAGAAAGCTTGTGCCTCAAGAGTAACAACCATACCATAGAGCAGAGCCTACTTTTGGAAAGCCATAACAAATCTTAAAACCAAGCATGGAAGGTCTGCAGGAGAAGAGTTTAAATGTTAGTTCTGCGTGCTCGCTTCGGCAGCACATATACTAAAATGTTAGTTCTGCCATGATACAGAGACTTGGTAGACACCTTGTAAAAATAAATATTAAAAATCATCCCAGCTTCCCAAAGACTTATAGTTTCTGCCTCTCAAGAGAGCCTCAGTGAGTCTTGAAGGAATTAAATAATGCAAGATATTGTTCTCGGCACAGGGAATTCCAAATAAATTAAATCATGGTCTTATGCACAGGATAGGGACTATACAAATCCAAGAGAACTTTTCAGCTCGGGTGAAACGATCAAAACACTCGTGCTCAATATCTGTAAAATTTCTTACCACTGGCTAATCTCTCTTTTGAAACTTACTTTCTTAGATTCCAGGACACACCATTCTAACTTTTCCCTGCTCTAGCCTCAGATTAGGCTCTTTCCATTTTATCTAATTCTGTCATCTTTCTCTTCCCCCTAAAGTAGGTGTCCCCCAATGTTTAATCTTAGACTCTATTTCTCAGCTTCATAATTTTATAAACTCTCTCTGGCTGTATGTCTACAGTCATTTGTCCGTCTTTGACACTCAAATCTGCCTGCCTATCTAGCCATGACCTCCAGCCTAATACTTTCAATTATCTCCCGGGAAACAGCTCATTAACCACTCAAGTTTTAACTAAAAACAAAACGTAACTTATTAACAAAACATGTTGTTCTTGTATTCCTTATACTGATTAATATCAGACCACTTGGTCCACTGTCAACTTAAGCTATGTGTAGAAATGAAAAAGCAGAGGTAAACTTTGTTATTCTTTTGCCCATTGTCACCTTTCCAAGGATAAGTAAGACCATTTCCATGTATTTTAATCCTCTATTAGGCTAACCAACTGTTCTTTAATATCAATTTCTATAAAAATGGTAATCACACCCTGTGATCCATTTCTATAAGAACATTTTGCAAGCTTTAATGTGCACAGGAATTTCAATATACCAGTGACTAATATTTATTGGATGCTTATTATATGCTAGGCACTAGTATAAGAACTTCCCATAATTATTTTAGTTAAGCATCACAAAAAAAATTCATTCTCATATAATCTTATTAAAAATAGAAATTTTAATATAGTAAGTCTGGTTCGAGACCCAAGAGTCTATATTTTTAACAAATATTCAAATGTTTTGACCCACTTAGAACATTAGACTCACTATTTTACAGAGTATCTCTTTAATATGTCATTAAGTTTTAATCCCTGGTATCACTGTATTAATTCATGACTCATCTCTATCTCTAAATATGTCAATTTCTAGTTTTCTTTAGAACTACCATTTTTCCCCGCTGTGAAAATTCGGTACTCTGTCATCAACAAGTTTTTTCAGGCCCTTCAGTTCACTAGAATAGAATTGCTTTGACAACACACAATTGTACTATCTCCAAATACATTCAGTTAGATTAGCTACATTACAATGGGTAATGCAACACTGTCCATATATTCCTGTGTATTTTAAAACTCTGGACTTTTAATTTAAAGTACATCTGATAAATGGTATTGGTTTTATATTATAATTAGAATATAATGTTCTCAATTCCAAGAAAATTCTTTCTAGTAATTCTAAACAAAAAGTCAACTAATTTTAAATAAACAGATTCACTAAGTTAAATAAAATTAAAATAAACAAACCCAAATATTGGTAGCTTAATATATTAGTTTATTTCTCCTTCTCATGTCATAGTTAATAGACATATACATGTCATGTGTTCATTTAGAGTATGTTGGGGAAGAGGAGTGTTGCTGCTTTGCTTCATATCATCATTTCAGGATGCAGGAGCTTTCCATCTAGTGGTTCAACCATCTTCTAGGAGTCTCTTTTTATAAAAGTATTGTATGCATAATGCTCCTTTAAATGATTCCCTAAAAGCCTCAGATTCTACTTCCATTGCATACAAACTATTAAGATTGTGTTTTTCTGAAAAAGAAATTACTGAATCTAAATAAACTGGAAAATCTTTAATAGAAAAACCTTTTTACAGGTGTAATTTTCCAGCATGCAAATACAGTAAACATAGGCATCAATGTATAAAACTATAGTCTAAATGTTGATAATAATTTACTTTTAAGGGATAAAAGAAGGCTACAACGTATAGCTCAAAAACTTGCACACCTTGCAGGAAAGGAATAAAACATTATGTCGCCATACTATAGAGACTAAAAACAACTAGCCAAATAAAATATTGTCAGTTATTAATACCTCAAATGTCCATGTCCTATCTTGGTAAATCCTATGAAGCTAGCAAAGGTCTGATACACTAATGTGAATGTCCAGATAGCACAGTAGTACTTTAACTCAGTGTCCATTTAATGTGAACTATGATGCTAGGGTACAAAAGGCCAATTAAAGATGAGCTGGGAAGTATTTTTCCAGCCTCCTGAATGAGGACAGACCCAGCAAACTCTGTCGCCATTTGGTTCCTAAACCTTATCTAAATCTTCCAACCTACCCAAGAACTCATAAAATAAATGCAGCTCTTATGACTCAATTCATAGAAAACTAATCTTATATGAGGGCTCAACATTTCTCACTAGAATTTTGTCTTTTTATTGTAGTTATTTCAAATAGCATTTTCCTTACTCTAGTAAACTAAAATTTAAGAGAAACTGAATTTGGCAAGCTAGACCAAATTAATCAGAAAAGGGTTAATCATAATGAAATGGGAGGATTCCAAATAGTACCTAAATTCTGTTTCACTTGCCTATTAGTATCCCTGGTTCTTGAAGAAGATATTAAGAGGAGATACTCCAGGGGCATCTGGGTGGCTCAGTTGGTTAAGTAAGCATCCAGTTCTTTGATATCAGCTAAGGTCATGACCTCAGGGTTGTGAGATAGAGCCCCAAGTCAGGCTCCATGCTCTTTGAGTAAGTTTTCATGGTCACAGAACATAGAAATAAATTGTACTTTGATTACAAATAAATTACATATGCTAAACATCCACCTGAACCAATATTTATGATTAAAAAGAACTTGTCTCCAAACCCTAGCTTTGACAAGTGGACTAAGCCGCCTGTAAGTCATAGATCATTTTGTTTACAGCAGGCCAGTCAAAGAACCCAAGTCCCTAAAGCTACAGCTCACATCTTTGGTCATCAGTATTTCATCTTGCTCATGGTGGTAACACATCAAGAGAAAACCAGTTTCTCCTAAAACCATAAAGCGTTTGACTAAAGCTTGTAAAGCCTAGAAACATCTATAAGATGGTCTTATCAAAAACAATTAAGAAATAATATTCCGGAAATATACATCGTAGAACAACCAAAGAACCACTGAAAGGATTAAATATATTTTCATTCAAATATCTCTACCATGTCTAGGTCTGATGCATATTCCATTTCTTTAAATTGTGACTGTTTTGCCTTTTCATAGGCCTTCAATTATTTTCCTGAGAGCCAGATACGAGGTGCTGGGTAAAAGGGACTGCTGTAAAAAGACCTTCAGTAATATGGTGTTGAGGGAAAGCATTCTTTGGTCCTTTAAGTCTCAGGCTTTTAGTGAGCCTATACCTCTGTACAGTAAACTTCACAAATGTTTCTTAGGGTTTTTTTCTCACCGCTTAGGTGGTAGAGGATAGCTAGATGATGCTGGCGTTAGATATTTTCCTTCCCCCAGTTAAGCTGGGCTCTGATGATACCTGGCAAAGTAGACTCCCATTAAGCTAGTTCCTCCTGAGGCCAAACCTTAAGAAGGATAGAATGCTCTTGAGTATTTCAAAAAATGGTCTTGAGTATTTCAAAATTTTCCTTTGCCCCTTCCTCCGCAGGAAACCTTAGGGAATTATTCTTCCATATTTACTGTAGGAATCTGGTCACATTTCTGGAGGTAAATCTCACATATTGTGGGCCTATAACTGGGAACCCTAGAGTTTTTAACACTCAGAATTGTCCACCCTGAACCTCTAGCAATTTGTCAATTATAGTTCAGGTTTTCCTACACCTGCACAGATTACCTGGTTTCTACTCCTGCCTTTCTACTCTCTGGAACTCTATACCCTATATTTGCCTGACTCTTAATCTTGGGGACAGTAGCTTCTCCTGTGTCTCTCCTCACCTACAGATCCAAAAACTGTTGATTTTTTTTAGTCTGTTTAGATTTTTACTTGTTAAGATAGAGTGGCAACTTCCAAGCTCCTTATATGCAAGCCAGAGACTGGAAACCTTAAAATAGATTTTAATCTCTTCCAGCATTATACAAGAAAACTTAACTCCTAATGTTGTTAATCAATAGTATCCTTGTGCTTGCTTCAGCAGCACATATACTAAAATTGGAAAGATACACAGATTAGCATGGCCTCTGAACAAGGATGATATGCAAATTTGTGAAGCATTCCATATTTTAAAAAAAATAGTATCCTTGACTTTGACCTTTTAGCACTCTTCTCAAAGGTTACAGTGAGAGTGAAGCAGGATGAATGCCCCTAAAATGCATTTAAAAGATATGTCCTCTAAACCATAACTTAGTGGAAGAGATAAGAGCTTGACTGAAAGCAGATGTTATAGTTTTCTTCATTTTACTACACTGATTAAACAGCAACTAATTCAGTATTGCTATAATCAAGTTAGGGTATAAGTTCAAAAGAGCTCAAAAACTGAAATTAAAAATGAGCATATTGATCCTTATCACATAACTTTCAACCAAAGTCTTCTATCTTCAACATATATGTAAATTCTTACTTCAAGAGCACAAAGAGCTCTCAGTTTTAGTTATTTTCTAGTACGTGGTCCAATGTTCAATAAACAATTCGTTTAGAAAACTATGGTTTTGAACCCAAAGTCACCATGGCCATGAACATCACAGTACTCTTACAATTCTGAGGACATCCTCCTAATTCTGAACAGAGAGACAGACAACTGCAAGCAAGCAGAGATTCACTAAGTTAACTAAAGCATGCAGGGAGAACAGATAACTACTGTCATTGCAGCAATTGTAGAATTTGTTTCTCAGAGCCAGAGATTCACTGTGACAAACTGTCAAATAAATTCAGAACCCTTCCCACCCTCACCAAATTAGAAAGTTAGTCATTTCTTAGTAGGCATTATACTATCAGATAAAATGAGAATAATAATACATTGTGTGTCATAGATTATTCCAGGTAACCCCAGTGCCTGAGACAAAAGAAAATAAAGGTCACCGCCACTGAGGAATTTCATAGCAAGATAAAATTATTGTTGGCTTAGTTGTTGTCATCCTTTAGACTGATAAGACAATGCCCTCTCATTAGTTTTGGGCTCATAAATAGCCTGTAAGGATTTCTGGTCCACAAATATCTTTTTGACTCACCTGCTATCTCTTTAGAATTAGACCCTTAAGAATCCATGGTTTTGGCTTTAAGACAGTGATACTTAGCCAAGTCGGTACATTAGAGTCACCTGGGAGCTTTTAAACCTAAAGATTCTCCAAGCTACAACCTCAGAGTTTCTGATTTAATTGGTTTGGGGTAGAGTCCAAACAAGACTTTTTCAAGTAACAAAGGAAGACTTAAAATGGGGCTGGTTTTGGCAGATGCACTCCTTATGTAGGAAGGTGAAACTGTATCTGGTGCTATGTTAGAGTAAATAGAAGATGAAACCCATAGACACATTGTAGACAAATAGAGAAAGGAACAAAAAGACAAGGTAAAAATTTAAACTCTTAACTGCAATATTTTGCCTAGAACCAATTCTGGCTCATCATCCTAGCTTAATGGGAGTGCAAAAGCCTGAAGAAGAGTAGATGGACTTGAAAAGTTTGGCACAAGGTGAATTTTAGAAAACTTGTCCTGAAAGTCTATTTATCATGGTTGACTTCTTTCTGAGGAGTAGCACAAAATGTTTGACAAGCATTGTCTCACTGTAGTCCTTAGCTCAGCAGGTATTTTTTCTACTTAGGATGGAGGAAATTTTCACAGAGACAATAAGTGACCCTACAAAGGTCACCCAACAATTTCTGTCATTCCAACTGGGAAAATAATAAGTTAAACTTAAATAATGCCTTCTTTTCAAAAAGAACTTCTTAGGTCAATTTGCCACTTTCATCTACAGATTTAACAAAATGCAAAAGAGTTTGTGGCAGACCCCACTTCCATGCCTTAATCTCAAAAGCTATGGCACTAGTAAATAAGATTTAAAACCATTTCAGAGTGCTATAGATGTTTGTGGAGTAAAGATTTATTTTAAAAACATAGCAATGCTAAACGGCCTCCACAACAAAAAGAACACATTGGCTTTCTAAAATATTACAACTGGTTTCGTTAAAAAAACAGAACCATTTAAAGAGGTATGTACCCCTGAAACAAATAACACATTATATGTTAATTAAAAAATAAAACAAAATAAAGAGATAGGTTTAAAATAAAAGCTTTTTTTAAAACCCAAAGTAAATCTTTACTACTCTGTAACTTATTTTATTGAGATGTCAATAAAATATAATGTTCTTTGTAATTTGGAAGTAGGATTTCTTCACTTACTAAAGCATATCAGTGTTGTCTGAGCACTTAAAACAAAGTAATCAGGTGTGTTTTATGGTGTTACACCAATATCAGATAATTATGGCAACATGTTACAAATTAAATATCTCTCACACAAACATTTCATTTAATTTTTCTTTTTTTAACAGAAATTAGATTTTGGAGTTAAATTATTTAGCAACCAAATGGAAAATAAGCAAGAAATATAAGATTGCATTACCTCTAGATGTTGTTAGCAACCAAGACTAATGGCTGGGACATACAAATTACTGTCCCAAGGTGAGCCGCGAGCCCATCTGCTCCTCCCTATTCGATTTCTTGAAGCGATTCTAACTGCTAATTAACCGTGAAAAGTTGTGCTGTGAACCTTTCACCTGACATTCTTCTGAAACAGTTCCTAAGGAGTGCTCAGAGCAATGTATATATAATCAATTGCCATTTCAGCAGTGACCTGCTGTCCTGCAGAAGAGCCTCAAACTGTGATTGTTCAGCTCTTGGGGAGGAAACTTTCTTTTTACTTTTTATTGGCTAATATACAGAAACATATCTACTGGACTGTTTTGAGTCATTTGGTTTGCTTTTCTCATAAACCTTAGCTCCTTAGATGATCAGACCCAGGAGAAGGGCAAATCTGACTCCTACCTTATATGCAGACAGGGCTGGGGTGGTTTTTCTGAGCATGCAGAGCCTAGACTCCAGAGTCTAAATTTCTTGCTTCTGTTTCTGGCTTCACCAATTAGAAAACAGGCTTTCAGCCTTGACTGCATATAGGAATCACCAGGGGAACTTTAATAAATGCTGATATCTGTGTCCCACCCCCAGAGATTTTGATTTAATTGGTCTGGGGAGAGGCTTGGGCACTGGAGAGTTTTTAAGTTCCCCCAGGGAGTTCTAAGGTGCAGCCAAGGCTGAGAACAACTGACTCAGGAGGATATAATTAGGTCTGGTTATTACCTTCCTTTTTTTTTAAAGATTTCATTTATTTATTTGAGAGAGAGAGAATGAAAGAGAGAGCACGAGAAGGGGGAGGGTCAGAGGGAGAAGCAGATTCTCCACTGAGCAGTGAGCCCAATGTGGGACTTGATCCAGGGACTCCAAGATCATGACTTGAGCCAAAGGCAGTCGCTTAGCCAACTGAGCCACCCAGGTGTCCCAGATTATTACCTTCTAAGATACTTTTAAGACTAGTTCCTCAGGTCCCAGTTGCTTCAGAAAACACATGAATCCTGAGACTCTAAGCACCCCCTAAACCATGATCCCTGTAATACATTTCCAAAAAGCCCCTCATCTAATACATTTTCCAACTCCTCTTTCATATTCACATGTTTTTCCATTAAAATGGAAAGATCACAATCTGTCATCAGCAAAATTACCTCAGTAACTACAATTTGTTATTACCAATCACTACACTCTGGAATGTTTCAGTTTCTAATATCCCACTCTCCACAACTAAGACATTGTTGGATGTTCTGTATCTCAATTTCAACAATCCCTTGCCTTACTGGGATCTCTAATCTATTGATTTTTTTTCCTCCATCATCTTCTTCATAATTAAAAAAAAAAAAAAAAAAGTCCTTCTCCTATTTAGATTCCACAGTCCATAATGATACTTTTTCTGTCTCTCCACCTGGCACCCAACTCTGGTTAATTCTAATCTTCACCTCTTTACTACCTTTACCAGAGCAGTTGAACATTCCTAAAGAAAATTTCAGAGCCATACTGGTCTCAAGTACATGACCATAGACCTCAAAGGGAGAGGTAATGTTGCCTAAAAGTCCATGAAAGTGCTGTAGTAAAATTATTCTCCCATTCTCCTAGATGACAGATCACCTTTCTCTGATAACATTCAAAACATCTTCCCTGCCCACCCACCCCAACTCTCAACTAATATCTTTCCTCTTGATTCTGTAGGGAAAACAGGAACTACAAAGATCAATTTCTTATCCTTCTACCATCTTATCAAGGTAAGCAATGACCTCCACATTGCAAATCCAATGTCAGTGCTCAGTTTTCTTAGGACTCCACCTCTTAATTATTTCCCTCTTCCTGAAACGTTTAATGCTTTCTTCATTTGTCTCTAAAAAACACCTTTCCTCTTTCTCAGTTCCTACTATTTCAATGGCTGTAATTTTTCAGGATCTTGTTGAATTTTCCTCATCTTCTGCAGACCTCTTCTTTTCTGTATTTACACACATTTGCAGGTAATTTTACCCAATCCCATGTCTTTAAGTGTGATCACTTCCCCAAACACTAGACTCTGTTTCTAATTGCTTACTTATAACATATTTTATTTTATTTTTATTATTTTTTTTTAGATTTTATTTATCTATTTGACAGAAAGAGAGATCACAAGTAGGCAGAGAGGCAGGCAGAGAGAGAGAGGGGGAAGTAGGCTCCCCGCTGAGCAGAGGGCCCGATGTGGGGCTCGATCCCAGGACCTGAGACCATGACCTCAGCCGAAGGCAGAGGCTTAACTCACTGAGCCACCTAGGTGCCCCACATATTTTAAATATCTAACAAATGCCATATTTAACATACTATAAACAAAGGTATTGATCTAATTATACTCCAAAATATGCTCTTTCCCTAAGCTTCTTAATAAGATGGAACTTTCATTTTTCCCAATGTCCAGATCAAAAACATTGGACGTCTCCTTAATTCTTATCTTGTTCTCTGTATTTAAAATAAACCTAGCACCCAACCATTTTTCATATTATCCAACATTATCAACCTAGTTTCTTGACATACTATTGAGATTCTTCTTAGCAGGCTACATATTTCCACCTTTGTTCTAATAAGGACAAAGTGAGTGCTATTTTTCCAATGTAATTCAGAAAATGTCATTACTCTGCTCAAAATCCTCCAGTGACTTCTACACCATTCAGAATTATCC